TTCCATTGTGTGACTGTACCACAGCTTCTCGATCCATTCGTTTGTTGATGGGCTTTCACAGCATTTTGACCGGGCTCTGCTTTCCTTGTTTCAGGTTCTGGCTGTCGAGCCTCCGGGAGCAGGATGGTGTGGAATGCGGCTCTGTTGCTCAGCTTGGTCCTGGGGACTGCTGCCCTTCCCCTGGACGACCCTGAGGACGGCGGCAAGCACTGGGTGGTGATTGTCGCCGGCTCCAATGGCTGGTACAACTATCGGCACCAGGTAAGAAGCAGTGCACCTGTGTCCTTCCACCTCTGTGAGATGTGAGCACTCGTGGACACTGTCCCTAGAGAAGATGTGTTTAAAAGGTCCTTCCTCACAAGCTCCAGGCAGCTCTGGCGGGCGGACCAGTGTGCAGGGAGTCATGCTGCTAACCCAACAACCAAGCCGCTGGCGGTTCAAATCCACCTGTGGCACAAGGAAGAAAGATGGGCAGTCTTCTCCTGTGCGGCTTCCAGCCTCAGCAACCCAGTGGAGGGCCAGCTATGAGTGAGTGGCCACACACACTGGGCTGGCTAAGGGTGGCGAGGATGTGGGGACGTTGGGGTCCTCAGGTGTTGCTGGTGCAATTAGAAGATGGAGCAGCCGCTTTGGACAGCAGTTTGTCAGGGAAAATGCAGGCTAGAATTTTAAATGTTATTAAGTTGCCACGGACATCGGACTTTTCTTGGAGAATATAAATTTCTAAAACTATTGTCCTAACATAATCTTTAAACTTTAGACCAGAGATAGCCCATAAAAGCATCCTAAAACCAAATAATTTTCGTTGTTGTTATGTGCTATTGAGTCATCTGTGACTCATAGTGACCCTATGTACAACAGCTCTGAAGCCTGCCCTGTCCTGAGCCAGTCCCACTGACTCAGGCATATCTCTCCCCTCATTGTCCCAGTTACTGTTTCAATCCATCTCATTGGGGTCTTTCTCTCCTGCTCTGTCCTTTCACCCTTCTGAGTATCATGTCCTCATCCAAGGACTGGTCCCTCCTGGCCACGTGCCCAAAGTATGTGAGACAGAGCTTCAAAATCCTAGCTTCAAAGGAGAGACTTGGTTTTACCCTCTCCAAGACAGACCTATTTGTTTTCTTGGTGGTCCATGAAATGTGTGCCTTGAAAAATAAAAGAAATGTAGAGGGCAGTGGATTTGTGGTAAACGGGCAGGAACAGCTCAGGAGAGGAGGATAAGAATGGTGCACCACTCGAACGCAGTACATGGTGCGTAGAGAAACCGTTGAATTAATTTATTTTTTTTCCCGTGCATATTTTCAACAACAGCAAAAAATATAATACAATTTTAAAAAGAAAAACCGACTTAATGCAGAGTTCCCATGTGACTCAGCAGTTTCACTCTTAGGTATATTCCCAAGAGAATTGAAACTGTAAGTACATACGAAACCTGGAACACTGATGTTTGTGGCAACTGTTTTCATAATAATCAGAATTGAAACAACCCAAAATTCTATCAGTTCAAGAGTGGACAACCCAAAACAACTATGAGATATCATCTCACCCCAGTAAGAACACAAAATTTAACAGAACAGCAAGCAATAAATGCTGGCAAGGTTGTGGAGAAACTGGAACCCTTATTGGTGGAATTGTAAAATGGTACAACCACAATGGAAGGCAGTATAGCGCTTTCTCAAAAAGTTGTAAATAGAAATACCATTTAACCCAGCAATTCCACTACTGGGAATAAACCCCAAAGAAACCATAATTGCCAACCAAGCAGATATATGCACACCCATGTTTATCACAGCTTTGTTCACAATAGCAAAGAGTTAGAAACAACCTAAGTGCCCATCAACAAACAGATGGATAAAGAAGCTATCGTATATTTACACAATGGAATACTATGCTGCATTGAAAAACAAGCAACTCATGCAATATTATTCAAAATGGGTGAGCCTGGAGGACATTATGCTGAGTGAAATATCTCAGTCACAAAAGGACAAATACTGCATGGTACCACTGTTCTAAAACAGGACTGACCTCGGGGTTGGGGAGAGACTCAGAAAGATGGGTTCAACAATATATACTTCATTGAAACAGATGAGGGAGAAAACTGTTTAAAAGGGATATATTATTAGGTATTATTGTCATGATGGGAGTCTAGATCGAAGGCTGCATGGTGGACTGGACTTGGAGCGAGGGATTGTATAACAATGAAGGAATTTTTCTTTTACTTTTCAAAGAGAAGAACGATCTGGGGGGAGGGGTGGACAGGGAGAAAGCGCAACAATGAATGAATGGGAATCCAAAGTCTCGGTAAATGTTCATTAAAATGAATAATAATAAAAAAATATGAAGAAAAGAAGAGTGGACAACCAAAATGGACTACGTGCACACAAGGGAATATTATTGGCCCTACAAAAAGGAAGGAAATACTGCTGTATGCTTCAACATAGATAAAATTTGAAAACATTGTGCAAAGAAGCCGCTCACAATATTTAATGATTGAGTTTGCCTGAACTGTTCAGAATAGATAACTCAGAGACAGAAATAGACTTGATGGCACCTAGCAACGCCAAGAAATCTTGAATTCTTTTTCTCCTTGTACTAAGTTATTTTCCCAATGCCCATTTTTTCAATGCAGTATGTTTTCCGATCTCTTCACTGATAGTCCCAAGGATGTTGATTGTAGATCTCCGAGTAAGACGAAGTTGTTGACAACTTCAGTCCTGGTACCAGTGGTTAAGAGATTAGACTTGTTGCCCCAGGAACAATAGCAAAGTTCAACAGGTCAACAAAAAGTGCTGGCGAGGTTGTGGAGAGACTGGCACTCTTATTCACAGATGGTGGGAATGTAAAATGGTACAGTCACTATGGAAAGGTGTCTGGCACTTTCTGAAAAAGCTGGATATAGAAATGCCATTTGACCTCGCAATTCCAGTACTGGGAATATACTCTAAAGAAACCAGAGCCATGACTCAAACAGATGTAGGTGTACCCATGTTTATTATTGCTGCGTTATTCACAATAGCAAAGAGCTATTGCAACTTAAGTTCCTATCAACAAATGAATGGATGGAGAAACTGGTGCATCCACACAATGGAATATTATGCAGCATTGGAAAACAGTGAACTGGTAAAACATTATACAATATGGAGGCACTTGGAGGACATTATGCTAAGTGAAGTGTCTCAGTCACAAAAGGACAAATACTGCACAACATTGCTGTTATAACATAGGACAGAAATGGGGGAGTAAGGGAGAGAATGGGAAAAGAGTGGATAGATACTGAACATTGCATTGGAACAGAGGAGGGGAAGAACTATTCAAAAGGAATCTATGATTAGGCATTAAATATATGACAGTCTGGGACAAGGGTGCATTGTGGAGTGGATTAGGGGAGGGACCAGAAGAAAATGTTCGACAGTGAAAAAAAGAATAAATTTTAATATTTTTCAAAAAATGTGAAAGATATTAGCCAAGTAAGATTTAAAAAGAAAAGAAAGAAAAAACCCAACACACTTGTTGCACTGGGAAAATCTGCTGTCAATGAGCTCTCCAAAATTCTGAGGATCAGTTATGTTTAAAAAACAAGGTGCACCTAATTCAAGCCGTGGTCTTTTCAATCCCTCGCTGTGCATTTGAGAGTTGGAAAATGAATATTGATGAGAGAAGAAGAATCAGTGCAGTGCCTTTTGAGTTGTGGTGTTGGAGAAGAGCAGTGAATATCCCATGGACGGCTAGGAGAACAGACACGTCTGTCCTGGAGGGAGTGCGACCAGCGTAATCCTCGGAGGCGAGGACAGCAGAGATCCTTCTCACATACTTTGGACATGCTGTTAGGAGGGACCAGTTCTTAAAAAAGGACATCACATTTAGAAAGAACAAACAGGATCAAAAAAGAGGAAGATGTTCAGCAGGATGGATTCACACAGTGACTTGGATGATGGATTGTCACAGATGGTGAGGGTGGCACAGGGCAGACTTCACATCTGTTGTCCGTTCTGCTGCTGTGAGTTGTCAACGCAGCAGCACCTAACAACAACAACAGCAACTCAGTCGTTGGACTCCGGTGTGTATTTCTTCCTCTTTGCTCCCCTTCATGTGGACTGGCCACACTTCCAGTGCCCTGTGGCCGTGTGTGGCAGTGTTGAATGGTGTGGTCTAGAGTCTGTACCCCTGGCCGTGCCGCCCTCACAGGACAGCGCTCTCACCAGCCACTTGGCTGACACTAGCAGGTGAGGTTCCCTCCCGGGGGTGGGGGTGGGGTGGTGGGTGGTCAGTCTCATCTCTGTTAAGCAGTGGCGTGGTTTAGATGTGGTTTCTTGCAGCTCTCAAATTCTATGCTTATTAAATGACTTCATTTTGGAGTGACTTTTGCATTTTAGCTGAATTCGAATTTTGACTTGATTAAAAAACAAAACTGTCGTCACGGCAAAATGAACCTTTTCCTTTTAATATTTTACCACAGACCTGACCCATTTAAAGAGCAACCCGAGTAGGTAACTGTTAGGCTCTTTGTTTTCACTTGTCTCTAAACCACAAGTTAGAAAGATAACATGTTAAATATAGGTCACGGAAAGCCAGGGCTCCATTCACTGACCTCAGTGGTTTGTTTTCTCTCTCTTTCTGTCTGCCTCTCTCTGTCTGCCTCTCTCTGTCTGTCTCTGTCTCTGTCTCTCTCTCTCTCTCTCTCCCCCCCACCACCTCCATTAAGTCAAATGTAAACATTAGTTAAACATTAAGCATAGGGTATCCAATCACCCTTTGGATCCCAGAACACTGTTTTTGCAAATGCTGCTCGGTTCAAATACTAAATGTCAGAATGAAGGGGAGCAAGGTGACAGCAGCAGTCCGAGATGGAAGTATTTGTCTGTCCCCAGCCCCCGTAAGACGGGGGTGATGCCCTGAGGCTGGGAAGCTGTGACTTCTAAGCCTCACCTCCTGTCGCTGCTGGCCTAGTCTGTTCTCAGCCAGCTGCCCACACAGGCTTCTCTTGATTTTGGAGGCTAATCATGGAAAGGACATTTGGAAGACCTTTCCGTGGCGACCCTGCAAAGAATTTTAAAGGTGGGTGTTTTTATATCATCTATGAAGAAAGCAGAAGGTCATTATAAAGACAGAGGAGAAAGAAAAAGCCAAAATGCATATCAGAAGAGACTCTGAAAGTGACACTAGAGAGTTGAAAAGCCAAAACAAGAGAAAGCATGACGAAGTCAAAGAGCTGAGCAGAAGATTTCAAACGGCAGCTCAAGAAGAGAAAGAAAAGTATTAAA